TATAATCCAGTTTTGAGATCCTTCCCAGACGCCTTAACGCCCACTCACATCCTGGGCCATCTGACCTCAGGAATTCGCATGATAAGGTGGGGCCAGGTTTCACAATGAACTCACCCGAAACCTTGGCTGATTGGGACCCACACCCGTGTGATTAGGTAAAGGATCAATCATCTTGGGGACACTCCCACAGGCTTAATTCTGGGACTCTCCACCATTTGCTCTTATAACTGAAGAAGCTTCTTGGATGAGAGGTGAAACGTCTTCATGGAAACTTAAAGAAGTCCAGATGCTTTTCTTTGCAAGCTCCTCAAACTACGATGACCTGGATGACCGAGAACCTTCACAGACACTTTGCGTGTTTCAGATTTGCTTCTCTGAGCATTGACTTTCCCGCTGCGGCGTAGCGGCACTGCATCCTCGAGGACTCTGACGCGCTGCTCCTCACAGCCGTCCGTCTCTGAGGGTGGCGTGCTCAGGTTCTAACTATTGGGTAGTGGCTGTGTGACCTCATCGCATTTGCTCGGCATTCTGGGAAACTCACGGTGTGCTCCTGTGAATCGCGCTGCAAATTGATAAACACACCGCCATTTCCTCCTGAAAATAAAGGATCGAACCTGAGATCAGACACACACACCTGCAGGCGGGCGTCGCTCAGCCCTCATTACCCAGAAGGCACCAGGGAACTGCTCCCCTCCTCTACAGAGGGGGGATTCTGGGATAGAGCCTGATTGTCTCCCTCTGTCTCTCACACACACACACGCACACACACACACACTGTCACGTTAGCCTGATTTGTTCTCTCACCCCTCCCTCCCTGTTTACCTCGTTGGTTGTCGTGGTGACAGTGTGATTAGCTCTGCAGTAATTAGCTGTTAATGAGGAGAGGGGGAGGGGGCGGAGCCTCTAATGAGATTTTAATATCAGCTGCTTTTGTTCTGTTTGTGTTTCTGTTTAATTAATGAGGCAATTTAATCCTGTGTGTGTGTGTGTGTGTGTGTGTGTGTGTGTGTGTGTGTGTGTGTGTGTGTGTGTGTGTGTGTGTGTGTAGGTGAAGTGTTGTAAGTACTGGCCTGATGACACGGAGATCTACGGCGACATGAAGGTGACGCTGATCGAGACTCAGCTACTGTCTGAGTACGTGATCCGGACCTTTGCTGTAGAGAAGGTAACACACACACACATACGCACACACACATACGCACACACACAATCCTTCGTTATTTCCAAAAACCTCTGTGTACACACACCTCTACAGTTCAGTTCAGCTCCATCAGTGCAGCTGTTCTCCAGCTGTTACAATAAAGTTGAACATGCACATGAACAAAGGATCTACACGAGGTGTAGGCCGCCGTGACCTCAGCTCGCTGACACTGACACAGCACAGAGTTGTCTTCAGTTGTTTCCTTTCAGAGGAACTCTGACCCCACCTTACCTCAGGGACGTGGGTGGAGAAGTGAGGTAAATTTGTTGATTCCAGGTCAGAGGTCAGTCGTGTTTTTATATTGGAGAATTTTGTGGATAATGTTGATGTAATCTACAAGAGAGCGAATCATATCTAGACGTGAGTGTAAGCATGTTGGACAGAGTGTCAGAGTCTGGTATGGTAACCTGACAGGAACAAACTGAACGGGAATATTACACCTGCTGGAAAAATCCACAACAAACGTCATCACGTGATCTGCGTCATCGCACCGTCTAAAGGGAAGCTCGTTCTAAACGACAGTCGTCAGGACGACGTTAGACCTGCGTCCACCTAGCAACAACCCGTGTCAGGGACCATAGCATCACCAGTGTGCTGAGCAATCAGAATCACAATCGTGTTTATTGGCCATGTATATGTGCAGACACATACAAGGAATTTGGTTCCGGTAGATGGTGACTCACAAGCACATGTCATGGTTCGGATTCACACTGAATCACACTGGTGAGATTCAGGGACACAGCACCATGAGCAGTTCAGCGAGAAAAACACGCCTAAAACTTCATTCTCTCTTTTCTCCGTGTGGGGTGGGGACTACTCTGGTGTCCAGCCCTGAATTTTTAGCCAAAGCTTGGCTTGTCTCCTGCTGTCGTACTCAGGTTTCCAGATTAAGAAAAAACCACCTGTATGAAGACACTAAACATACATTTTAGTATTTGTATAAACATAACTGCCTAAATTAATGAACTCTTGAGAAGGGTTGATTTAACTCCTTACTAACCCTAAACCCCACCAATAACAATTTCTCACCCACAAACTTCTATGCTTCCATTTAAACATGCGAAGCCAACAAAAATTCACACTCATACAGCAAAGCTTTAACATAACTCCAACTCCTCCCTTAAACGGGAGAAATCACCCTGAATCAACCAACTCTATATAAAACGTCAAACAAAGATAAACCACAAACATTTCTACACTTCTGTGTCTGCCACGCAGCACAATAGGCAGAAAATCACCGATTAATCACAGTCCATTCAACTTATACTTAACACCACAACAAAAGAAAAACCTGCTCTT